TTGAGCAGTCTTCACACATATGTAGACAGACTTGTAATCACTGAATACCGCTTCAGATCACGTACTCGTCAATCTCTAATCTTCAGTTTTAGTCTTCGACGGTTGCTGAAGGTTCTTTGGTGTGAGTGTTGTCTTCTTGAAGTATTGTTGTCTCTGATAGATTTACAATGCAAGTTCTTCAACGATCACTGAACATGCTCAGTGAAGATCGCTGGAACTGAAAATACAGAAACATAAATACAACGTATAAGTGAAAAGGGATTATCATCAAATCACTGAGAGAGAGGATCAACACCCTCCTTCCATGCTTCATCGTTGCCCCCCCCCCCCAATCCCATTCACCCCGACAACTATCTAGTTGCAAGCCACCAGCTGTCGTCGGACCACCATGGTCTACCCCCTGCGACCAATGTGCGACATCACCATCTTTCACCAACAACTTCATCGATAACGTCTCACTAATCCATTCACGACTGGTTACCTCCTCCAGTCGATCCTTCTTCTCCATCGATGCCAATCACCATGGTCTACTCCTCTCTCATTCCTTATCATCAACCACCCTCCATCTTTGCTCCCTACCACCACGTGAAATCGTATCAAGCTTCGAACATCTTTCTGTCTCCCTTCTGTTCTCCCTCTCGAAAACCACGAGCACTTGCACCCCATCATCGAATCTTCTTCTGTCCCTAGGTCCTTATGAAAGTTTCAAGTTTTTTTAATTTTGTAGTTTTACTTGCTATACAGGTTGCATGTTACGTTTTTAAGTAATACAAATGCATTTAACAAGTTTTCAAAAGTCTAAAAATTTATTTAATAAGTTTTAGAAAGTCTAATGACTTATTCGTTCAAAAAAATATTGTGCACTAATTTAATTATTGTAAACGAAAAAGTCCATTATGTATTTTTTTAATGAAAATCATGCATTTGAAATGATTTTAACATATGTAATTTTTTTTGACTTGTTTATAACCCAAACCCTCTCTCATTGATCATATTATCGTGGTGGTATCCTCTCATTCAGATTTGGGTGTCCTCCTGCTTGTTTTCCATTTCGAATTCGAAGCAATCAGTGAGAGGAAAGGGATGGCCGGAGGTAACCCTCTCAAGGCCCCATCCAACAAGCCATCATCTTCTTCCTCCTCTTCTCACCACCGCAAATCTCATCGGGAATCCGGCAATAACCTTGAAAACGCCGCACAAAAACCCTCCCCTTCAAAACCACCGACTAACTCCAAACCCTCCCCTTCTTCCAAACACAAACCATCCCCAAAACTCAATCCGAACCCTAATCCTAACCCCTCGCCTCGCCCCAGACCCGAAAACGTGGGACCACCGCCACCTCCGGCATATGGTTTTCACATGCTAGATCGTAGAACAATCGTTCTTGCTGATGGTAGTGTTCGATCCTACTTTGCTTTGCCACTGGATTATCAAGATTTTACCCCGCCGCTGCCTAGACCACCGATGCGGCCTCAGGGTCCGGAGTCATGGTTAGGGTTTGATCGACAATTTCCTCATGGACCTCCGATCCCGGGAGGGGATGATCGTTATCGACAACAGAACCAGGATTATTGGAATTCTCTTGGGCTTGAAGGATCTCGAAAGAGGAAGTATGGTGATGAGAGAGATGGGGGAGAAATTAACGATGAGTTTGCAAGACAAAGGCAACAACTCTTGCAGTATGGAAATAATTCGAATGGATCCTATATGGCGGGTCCAAGTAGCCTTGTTCATTTGGATGAAATGAGGGCGGCCAAGTATATGAGACCTGAAGGGGGGTATGGGAGTGTGCAGGTTAGGCATAATGAGATTGATCAAGCAAAGTTTAAAAGGGCATTTTTGAATTTTATCAGGTCGATAAACGAGAATGCCAGCCAGAAGAAGAAATACTTAGCAGATGGTAAACAGGGTTCTCTTCAGTGTCTTGCATGCGACAGGTTTGATAAACTTTTGATTGAATTTATATGTTTCGTTATTTAATGTATATGTGTTATATACTTATATGTACACATTCTACTTGCTGGACTTTTATACTTGACGTTTCTTTATAGTATTTTCACTTGCCACAAGGCATCTTCATCTTTGTTTCAAATAGATTAACAGTATAGAACTGTTGAGATTTGGCACTATCTTTGATGGTGTTAGGAATATTTTGAAAACAGTCCTTATAATATTGTTGATAGGTTCTATTTCAGTTGTTAAAGGGTTAAAATCTGATAAATTGTGATGTTTATAGTGTCACATGGAAGTTGTAAATGTATATTTACGCTTCAACTCATGTGTTTTAGATAAACTGCATGTAAAGTTAGTTTGTCATCTTCTTCGTGAGAATGTAGTCTTCTTGAGCCTCTTTTTATCAGCTATGACTGTTCGAATTTATCATCTATGTAATAATTTAGGCATAATTGATCTGGTCACCAACTTGATGAGTGCTATACTTCGTTTTTTATTTATGTTTCAGCCTGTTGTCTACTTTTATTCCTTTTTCTTGATCAAATTGGAAAGGTGGGTCAACAAACATTTGCTGTAGGCAAAATCTGAATTATCATCTTCATGCTGTGTACGTACTTTATTCATTCTTGTCTTCTCTGAACAATATAATCACATTTTATAGGCGCTCTTTACTTTACAATCATTAAGTTCTCATGGGTTTCTTTTAGTAGCTATTTCATTTACTTTTAGGAACATGCAAGTGTGTCAGTTACATGGCTATGTATGCCAGGCTGAAGCTCTTTTGGTTCATCCTTACATGGATATATCGCCATTATGATATTTGGATGTATAGCTAAGTTATCGCAAGAACAATCTGCATACTTCATCGTATGCTAGCATATGTCTTGTGCAGAATCATCAACCACTTGTTTATGCCAACATTTTAGAATAACTGCAGATTTTTTAGCTCTATGGTAATTGGTTCAGTTTATATATGATTGTTGATTTATCATCATTTAGAGCTTTGCTATATTACTAGAAAATACTGGTTTAATTGGGTTGATTCTACCTCACAAGCTGCTAAGGTGGTTTTACAATATACTCTCGTATGTGTTGAGATGTGTGGATTGGCCATTCTAATAGAGTGCCTTGTTAAATTTGCTTATTATATAGCATAATCAAGGTAGATGTCTTGTACAATTTTGATGTTATGTGTTATTACCAGAGTACAATGCATCTGTCATGTGTAACTGTCTTTGGAGAAGTGCTTTTGTGAACTATGCTTGTTCCATTACTGATTTCTCCATACTTATTTGCAAGCACATTTATTTGTGTCCACTCCGATTGAAGCATAACTGATTGCATCCTTACTGATCTTATCCTTGAGAGTATGCATTAATACCTAATCATGGTTGTTATGTCATGGCCAATTGGCAATTGCGTCTTAGCGCCATGGCTATATCTAGATGGCATGGCATCCAATCGTTATGAAGGTGCATGCATCTCAAGTTGTCTGATGGTGCTCATGTCACTTTTTGGGCGGCTCAAATTAGCCTAAAAAATAAACCAGATGTTGAAGAGTAGAAGAAAGAAGTCTCACTTATGTAAAAACTAAAATGATCACTAATACATGGACTCCAAAATCAGAGGAGTAATCGTAAATATAATATGTAGCACAATGCCCTTCTCGTACCATAACAAGAGGAATGGTTAGAAATATCAAAAGATCTTAGATCGTCAGTGTTTTTGTTGCTGTGCTCTATTTATTCATGGCGATTTTGTCTTGCCTTCATGCCATTTACTGCCATAGTTTGTAATCCTTGTAGATTGACCATTAAATTTTAATTTAGGGGCTGTTTGGTTCAGGCTAAAGAATGAAAATGACAAGGAATGAAATGGGAATGATATTCCCCCAATTTAACCGGAAATGAAAATTTGGTCTTCTGGGGGAATACCCACTATATTATATAAAACCAAACACCCCCTTAATATTTTGTTACCTTTTTAACTTTTACATAGCTGTCATGTTATTGTGACTTTGTGTCTAATATAGTTTGCTATTTTACGGAAGGAAAAGTGTTGTTGTATGGATGTTTTGGTACTTGGTATAAGTTACAACTGTATTTTTTAGATATTACTATTTTTTTTGTAATAAAATAATATGCTCTCACAAAGTAGTGCTGTTATCTAGGTAATGGGCAACAACTTAAATGTTTTAGTGTTGATCTAATCTATTGGTATTTGGTATCTGGTATCTGGTATTTAGTTTTAATATCTGAAGTTTTATAAGTGATATTGAAATGGTGGTATTATATAAATGTTCAACATAATGATGCATTATATTTATAGAAATAACACATGAACTACTAGTCACAACATGACATCTTGGTGGTTGTCTAAGGTCATGATTCTGGGTGATACAATAACAACTATGCACATGACATAATGCATATTCTCTGAGAAGGTTAGAAGCATACAATATACTCGTTTTCGTGCCATGTACATATACTCTTAGTCAAGTATAGTGTTTGATTTATCTCTACCAAAGTGGCAATGATCTTATGGATTTCTATATTTTACATGTCTATTAAGCTATGAGGCATGCATGTATTTTTTCTTTCTTCTTTAGGGTTTTGTAAACTATGACTTGAATTTGATCAAAGGATTCAAATTTCATGGGTCATTTTATGAGGATAAAGGCTTGAAAGTGAGAATGAAGGGCAGGAAGTTATTGTGTAACATATTCTCTGTGTACACCCTTTCATATGATGTCTACTGATTCCTTTGGTATCATTTCAAAGGGTGGTGAGATGTTGCTTCTAGCTGTGCCATTGTGTGTTGGCTTTTCAAGTAGCTGTAGAATATGAATCTCCTGCAAGAGTTGATCTCTTTTAGTCATTGTGATGGTAAAATGTTAGTACCATTTGTTGCTTCGAAATTCTTATTTTCCATATAATTTATTGCTTTGATCGAACTATACATGTTTTTATTTATGATTTTGTATGTAAGAAACATGTGCTGTAGAGCTGGGCTCTTAGGGGCTGTTTGTTTGGCTCTTAATGGTTACATTAAGAGCCAACCTCTTAATCGGTAAGAGGTTAGGACTGTTTGGCAAAAAAAAAAAACCCTCTTAATGGTTACAATAACCTCTTAACCATTTTGCATCAACTACCTCACTAAACCATTCAGACGTTGATTTTTCCAACTCTGCCCTCTCAAGTCGTTCTTCACATCGCATCCCCCTCCATGGTTCCAGTCGCCGGCCGTCTCCATTCGCCGGCCGTCTCCATTCGCCGGTCTTCCCCCTCCCATCGTCGGTCTTCCCCCTCCAGTCGCCGGCCGTCTCCTCGTTCCTGTCATCGTCTCTGTTGTCTTCCATCGTCGGTCCTCCTYCCACGCGAGATCCTCGTTCCTGTCATCGTCTCTGTTGTCTTCCATYGTCGGTCCTCCTCCCATCGTCTCTGTTGTCTTCTACATAATCGATTTGATCGATGGTGGGTTAGGGCTGTTTGAATGAACTTAGGGTTATTTGAATTAGATAATCGATTTCTCTCGTTGGTGGATTAGGGCTGTTTGAATGAACTTAGGGCTGTTTGAATTAGATAATCGATTTGATCGATGGTGGATTAGGGCTGTTTGAATGAACYGGCTGTTTGAATTAGGGCTGTTTGAATTGGTCGATTTCATCGATTTCTCTCGTTGGTGGATTAGGGCTGTTTGGTGGATTAGGGYTGTTTGAATGAAAGAGTAGAGGCAATGAGAAGAGGGGTAAAATGGTAATTTGATGTCATTCAGAGAACATTTACCAAACAATCATATTTCATTCCGCACTTAACCATTCTGACCCTCTTAACCATTCTGACCACTTAATCATTCTGCACTAAACCATTCAGCAACTGCCAAACAGCCCCTTAGTTGTCTTTTGTCGTCTATTTAAGCTGTCTTCTTTGGTCATATCTCTTGCCATTATTTTTTTTGTATGTTGAGATGGACTTAGAGATCGGGTTAATCATCTTTAGCCCAAGTTGTTTGGTTGGATGGGATGCAAGGTAATGGAATGAGTAGGTAATGTAAGTAGTCATTATAGTTCATTATTATCTTTGGTTGTAATGTAGGAACAAAAAATAGTCACTAAATTTTTTGTTTGGTATTCTTGAATAATAAACTGAATTGAATCAAATTGGTAAATAGAGAACGAAGTAAAACAAAATGGAAGATCTAGAAAACCTCAGGACAGCACACATCAGGATAGCAAACTCCTAAGTTTTGATTAAGTGGCCCGAACTAATCGAGCTGCAGGGAACACTTTACAGAATATATCAGATCATTTCTATTGTAACCATCAGGATAGCACACACACGCATTAGAAAGCCAGTCTTTGGCTAGACTTCCACGAAGTATATGGTTTGCATTTTAGCAAGCCCAACCACCATAAGTGGATCTTCAGCATGGGTCAGCATAATAGATTTCGGAAGAGGATAGATGAACAGAGTTATCCAACTCTTAGGAAATCCAGGGTTTTGTCGGATGAGCAGATATGCGGAAGATGGGGGGCATAGGAATTTTTTAGTAGCATCCTTCATAGGAGTGAATTAAAATAGAAGGGAGAGTCGGCAGCTTTCATGAGCAGATAGGGTGATAGATCCATCACCCTTATTGAGAGGTTAAGCAGCTCTAGGTGGGAACTTTTAGAAACTTGTTTTTTTAGCTTTAATAGATTTCAAACTTGTTAGTGAACCCCAATAATGCACAAATCATAGAGCAATGCTAGATGAGGGAAATATGTCTAGGATGTGGGTACACTGTAAAAACAGTAATCTTTGTTTCTTCTTATGTGTTCTTTAATCTGTAAATGTTATGCTACTTCTAATTCCATCAACTTGGTTTGTTGATCCTCTTTTTTCAACATTCAACTGTCTACTGCAACGTCTTCCTTATAAGAAGGCATTGTGAGATAATGGCACTGCCAATACCTTCGCTGGCCATTTTTATTCAATCTGATGATAAAAGCACATCCATGCTTATATTCATATTTAGACAAGTGGCTGCTCAAATGCCTAAAGGGTATAGCAACGAGTAAGGGTGTAATATGTTTTTGGGCAAGTAACAAGCAACTAGTTGACTAATCCTGCCTACTTTTCCCTTACCACTTGGTTCTTGGGTACTTTCCTGCTGTCAGTGAGTTACTGGATGATTGTGCTTTGTGCTGTGGGTGATAAGTGCAATTCTTTTGACCATTTCTCTTTGTTTGTGAGAGCTTTCTATCAGATAGAAAGTTACGGATTGTGAACATAGTAACATAGAGAAGTTAAGATGTTAATGATGGCCAAATTTGTTGAAATCAAGCAACTGTATGTTGTCAGCAAGAGTGTCACATATTGTTGCTGAATAATACAGTCTTGATATTGGAGTTGAGAAATTCTGATATAATTTCAGCTCTTTTAGCACATATTAGTTATTGTGGCTCACTGCTAGGTGTTCTATGCTGTTTTTGATCCTGAAAAGGGATTCATTCTTGACATCTGTTGCTTAAGATTCTGGTTAAATGGTTGCAACGAGTTTAAGATCCCAGTCTGGCACTTAGTAGAGAAAGGTTTAGGCCTCTTCATTTTGACGAGCTATTATTGGATATCTCATGACTTAAATTGAGTTCTTTGTTACACTTCTTTTGGAAGTTGAAGGAACTTTATTGTACTCTATGGAGGGACTGCCGCAGCATTTATCAACTCCAATTTTTGTTTTCTTGTATAAACTAATATATAATTTAGTATCCTTTATTTTTTCAAGTAAGTCCATTGTGATGTTTGCATTCTGCATTTTACAAGGTCTCCTTGTATAGAGAAGTAATGAAGTTGATTACCAGCTCAATAGTGATCTGTGCTGGTAGCTCCACTGGTGTGCGATCGCCTTCATGGGATGCTAGACTGAGTTAGGGAGAGGTTTTAAAAGAAGGCTTAAAGCCAAATATGCCATTCCTTTGGCTGCTTCTGCTCTTTTTTTTTTCGGTATTTCTCCTTAGCTGCATTTCCTTCTTGTATGTGTGCATTTAAGCTGTTGTAGAGATGTTAATTTGGAAAGAAAATGAAGTTGAGCTTATCTGAACTGCTATGTGCTTGCTTTGTTTACAGTCTAGAAATGTGTGTGCTGCTGCTTTACTATGCATGCATGTATTCAGAAAATTCATTTTTGTCTACTTACAATCTATAGAGGAATTCTTTTTATCCATCATTACCTAGTGAGGGAGGGAAGTTCGGTTCTTGGTTAGCAATAACGTAGATTCATTTGGCTCTATAAAACTGTGATCCTGTTTAGTTAGACGTTGCAGGTTACCTTTTTCATAAGAGCTGTATTGCTTTAGTAACTTTCGCAGCTTTCAGGGATGCTATGGCTACCTCAAGTTTTTTTTTTGTTGGTTGTTAGTTTGTATCTTATTTTGTACTAGGACATTTTTGAGTCTGAGGGTTTTCGTATTGGGAATGTTTTTGCAAACGTTGGGTTTTCCTCCATGCCGGATTTGCGGATGTACTTTGCTTGTTATTAGCATGCTTTTATAAGGGAAAGATCGTCTTGTTGATGTTGACTTAGATGCATCTTTCCTTCAACGTTCTTGATGGTTGTAAATTCTGACACCAGCTTTTGCTTATTTGTAACTCTGACTAGGCCTTGAATTTACATCATAATTACTCTAGAATGTAAATCTTGAACTTTTCCCTGCAATTCTTGGGAGTTTTGTTCACATTAAATACGAGATATGTGCCTTCTTTCTTATGGACCTCTTAACATGAATTAGGCTCCAACCAAATTCAAATGATCAATCAGTCATTTATGCAAATTCAGGTCCTCCAAAGATTTTCCAGATATGCATAGCCTTATCATGCACACATACAACCCAGAAAAAGCAACTTCTGACCATGTTCCTGATCATTTGGGTTTGCACAAAGCGTTGTGCATTTTGATGGGCTGGAACTATTTGATGCCTCCTGATAACTCAAAGGCATATCAGCTATTATCTGCCGAAGAAGCTGCTGCAGATCGGGATGATTTAATAATGTGGCCGCCTCATGTGATCATACAAAACACCATTACAGGAAAGGGTAGAGATGGACGTATGGAGGGTTTAGGCAACAAAGCAATGGACATGAAGCTTAGAGGTATATGTCTCCCTTTGCTCTGTTGCTTTTTTATCCGTCTATGTGTTTATGCTCATGAATCCACTACAAATGTACCCAATTGTTATTGGAGTGTCGCCTCCAATAAAGTAAAACATCTCCACACTATAGTGTTGTGCTTCATGCAGTATGCTTATACCAAACCCTCCATGCGTGCACCTCTTGCACTGAACTATCCTTTCAGTGTGACTACCCTTGAAGATCTTTGACATCCTATAACATGTTATGCATCCTATTGATGAGTAATCTGACCTTATCAGTAAAAATATGACTCATGAAAAGTGTGAATATTTTATTACTCAAGTCAACAATAAGTAGTTTACAAGGTGGGCCGATGAGATAAACATAGTGGAACCATTAGAAGACTCTAGAAGTGAACACAGAACAAATATTTACCATATCGTTAGAACTCTTCAAGTTGGAGCATGTATCTCATTCATGCTCAACTTGTCACATGAGACAAATAAGTTAAATATGCATTGTTCTAGGAGGCCTGTCAACATATCTATACTTGATATCCAGAATGTGCTCATATCGGTTCAAAGAGATAGGTTCACGTGATGTGTGAGCACCTTTTGATGAACATCTACCATTAGTTGTTGGAAATATGTGTATGACTACATATTGATATCCATGTAAATTTTCACCAAACTAGCTCCTGTTTCTCTGAATTGTTGTAGCAAATGTTTTACTTGTATCCATGATTTTCAAAATCGTGGGAGCCTCAAGGCGAGGCGTCCAAAAAGTATCTGAGGCCGCCTCTAAAGGGTTCCAAAAGGCATAGGAAAGAACGGTGAGGGCGGTGGGCGGTATTGAGGCGGTAGCTTTGTTTTTTCCTTGTTTCTTATAATAAAAGACTATAAACTGAAGTCTACAGCAGCTTTTTCTCTGAGTGCTTTCTCTCTCTTTCTCACACAATCATATAATATGTATATATTCTTTTTCTTATCAGTGTTTTCTTCTTCCATCAAGTGCTGCAATCCACTAAGTGCACCTGCATATTACTCCAATTAATCTTTTGGATAAAGATTGCTATTAAAACTTGTAAATGCTGGAATTAGACGTGTAAAACACACAGACACGCATATATGTAGGCGATTACTTTCGTATAATATATATATTTCTTTGTACTTTTGTAATATAATTTTAATATGTTCCCAAGCTGATTATACTTTATGTTTTTTAATATATATATATGTATATATTTTCTTTCTTCGTATATTCCTTCAATAAAAATGTATATATATTCTTTCTTTGTTGGTGTAATATGTATATTTCCGAGGTGGGTATACTTTGTGTATATTAATATATATATTTTTCATTGTTAGTATAATATATATATTTCAGTTTCTGTATATTTTAATTTGTATGTGCTGCATTTCCGTACATCAAAACCTTATATTTAGTATGTACTATATATTATATAAATATTGTATACATATACAAATATATATATATATATATATATATTGTATTTTACATATATTATTTCCACCTCGAGGCATCACCAAGGGAAGACGCCTTGAGGCTCGATCCCGCATTTTTAAAACCTTGATATATCAATTCAGGACGTCTCTGCAGTAGCTCTGCGTTATATCCTATTGGCAGGAAGGGAAACAAACTTTTATTTATTATTTCACCAGGATAAAAAATCGCCCTTAAAAGACCTCAATGAGGCCAGAAGCAACACACAATGACTGTTAGGCAGAATTTGCTAGTTCATTCAGTGTCGCAGCAAGGTAGTGGCCAAGGTAGGTGAACAATGGAAGTGAAATCAGAATGTGATATCTCCCCCTCAGGTTGCCTCCAGGAGCTGTCATAGGAGGTAAAGATGATAGCGGCAGTTCGAGAAAGCCAGAACCATGTCATGGCTCCCTTAACACCACTCGGGCTATCTTTTTCAGGCATAGGTGGCAGATGACTAATTAGCCCATTAGAAGTGAACAATTAAAATAGGTAGGAGTTAGGACCAGTAAGTATGATGACAATCAATAAACAAGAAGTGAGTGACAAAAGCGCATGTGTCCTTCGCAGTAGGTTTCCTTGCCTGTTGTGTTGGGTGACAGGTGTGGTGGTGCTGACCGCAACTAGGTTGTTGTACAAGGGCTAGTGTTTGTATCCAGAGCCGTGCTTATGACACCATGAAGAATATGGGGCTCAAAAACCTGAACGTTGCATTAATTGGGTCAGGAATAAATAGAGTAGAAAGTGGTCAAATAGGCAAAACATACAGAAAACCTTAATAAAACCGTCAATAATTATCGTGTTTCTCTAACAAATCAAGAGTAAACTTATTGAACACCAGGCAATTAGGATAAAGGCTACGCTGAGTTGAATTCAGTTGGTATTTCGAGGAGTTGATGAGAGGTAGTTGTGTAATTGGATGGATGTTGTTTGGATGGTTGCTGTTTCTTAGAACGTTTTAGCAACTGTCATTTCTTTTGTGTTTCTTTATTTTTCTCTTTTTAGATAAGTTTTTATTACCTAAAGATGTTACGATCTACAAGAATGTGCTTATCCCAACACCAAGTAGGTGCATTAGATCTTTCTTCTATCTGTCAGTTGTGTAGATTTTGATCTCCACTGCTTGCTCCAAACGTTCATAAGGAGGCTATCATATTCTTTGCAGTTGTAGCTGTATGAGAATATTTTTGAATCAACATTCAATTGCTAGTCTTGGTCATGATTTAGAGAATCAATCCATTGTTTCCAGGATAATGGCATACGCTAACTGATATATGTACATGTAAATTGTCATACTTCTGATCCAAACAGACATATGTTGGCAACTTTGTAGACAACGCCATGTAGTTTCTCACATTGACATATATGTAGAAAATTTGAGAACGTACTTCATTGTTGTAGGACATCATTGACTAAGTTCCACGGCACAAAACATGCTGTGAATGTTAGATGGTTGGATTGATTAGCAGTATTAGTACCTAGTCGAGCTTGTTTGTTCCTTTATATGAGCCATCACAAGAACAATGTGTAACGACATTAAGCAAAGTTGTTTTGCGAAGTGGCTAGGATTATAGGGAATCTGCTCCCTTCACTTTCACCTTATGGCTTTATATCTCAGATATATAGGTAATTCTGGGTGAATCATATTTAGCCATTATTGTGAAATGTTGGGCTGATCTGCCAGTTTCATCTCTTCTTTAATCAGTTTAGCTTTTTCTGAAATATACTCGCTATTTGTCAATGCTACTTTTTCTAATTTGCTTGTCAATTGCCCTAAAACTTGTGTTGCTGGATTTTTTCTTAAAAACATTTGGTTATTATCCTGACTTGTCCACAGCTCATAGGAAACCATTGATATGGTTATCAGTATAATGTTGCTACAAGTTGTAAGGCAAGCTCAAAACCCAATAGGAAGTCATTGTAATTTGCAGTTAATAGCTGGTCGATACTGATGTTGATATTCTCGTGGCACATCATAATTTTTCTTCTTTTTCAATGGAGTGGCAACTTCCCTCAAGCTTGGATGTCTATATTTTCACAGATCCGTTATGACCTGTGTATGTTGACTTCTGGAATGATTTGGAGGTTGGTAATGTAAAAGGGGATCTAGTAGGTGGCTATAATGTAAGAACATTGATCTATTGGTAGTCTGGGGAAAACATGAATTGCGGCATTGTTTGTTTCTAAATATAAAATCAGCGAATTTGTGTAGAAACTCAAAAAGGATGAAAATTGACAAATCCATTAAGCCTTTCTTCCTAGGACAGAAGCCTTTACTTGAACAGGAAAATGGGTGTGCTGAGACCAGTAAAAGAAAGTCTGAATTTTCCACGGAAGCCCCTGGACCACCATCGGCTACCATTACCACTACCACCATCCACCATCTTAACATCCTCCACAACCACCACCACTAATACCGTCGGCCACCACTACCTTCACCTCCACTAATACCGTCGGCTACCACCACCTCGACAAAAACCGTCGGCCACTACCACCTCTACTAATACCGTGGGCCACCACCACTCCACCTCAACCATATCACCACCACTGCCCACCACCACCACTTCCACCACATCGGCCACCACTATATCCTCTACCACCACCACCACCACCACCACCACCACCACCACCACTGTCGCCATCTTCACATCCTCTATAGCCACCATCGTCCACCAATCATCAATGCCTCTACCTCTAGAACCGTTGTTGCAACAATCTTTACCGTGCTTTTGTCAATTGATAAGGATCTTCCAGACCGAATAAAACTTAAATTTTCTTTTGTATGAATTGCGTTTTTTCCGAACTATCATCGATTTTTATATCAAATTTGATATTGCTACATATGTATGTATTTATGTATATGAAAATTGTGTAAAAATGTTTATAAATTAAATTATTAAATTATTTATTTTATTTGTGTTGGTTATAACTATCACATGATATATATAAAATCATTAAATAAATTTTCGGGCAACTTGTCTTGTTCTGTCCTGTCTAGTTTTAGTCGTACCAAACACCAGACAAACACTTATTCTGTCCAGTCCTACCCTCTTGCTATGCTGTTATAGCGGTGAAAATACAAAATTGCGGTGGGGATTGATATTTGAAATAGCGGTACATAATATTTCTTAGAATTATATATATATATATATATATATATATATATATAATATGCCTACATAAACATATCAGTTGCAAAATAGGAAAAGTATTCATAAACGAGCTAATCGCAACTTCGCAAACAATAGGTTCAACATCTGAGTCAACATCTGAGTCAACATCATCTAATACGTTCACTTCTTCGTTTAGGCTAGCTTACCACTCTTCCCCTTCTCCCCCTAGTTCTTCCAACTTATGTTAATGGATTAAACTTAAGAAAAATAAAGCCAAAATTAGAAAGACTGGAAATAAAGAACACCTATCTAAAAACAGAGACTGAAAATAAAGCCAACCCCCCCCCCCCCCAAAAAAAAAGTAACGTTAATAACGAACGCAATTGACCCTATCACGGTCAAAATTCCTGTAAATTGCACCGATAATTGCGCTACCGCAATTTAAACCGCAATCTGACCATCGTTATTTTGCTAATTTCCGCTATCTGAGATGTCGCCGCAATATCGTCGCTATTGCACCACAATTAACAGCATAGCCTTCTTGTCTTGTCCAATCATGTCTACGTATCAAATGCTACTTAAGGGAACAAAGAGGGAAGAAGAGAGAGCAACACAGAGGTCAAGCTAGAAGTCCAGAGGTCAAACTAGAAGTCCTATTTTAAATGAATTTGAATGTTGGCAACAAATGCTTGTGGCTTAAAACGCAACAGAGACCATCAATGCAAAATTTTCTACAGATATCTCTTTCTGAGAGTTATAGGTTGGTGTGTGTTAATGTTTGCTTAGCATGAGAGTAGGACATAAAAGTTGAATTTCGGTGTTTTTAAGTGTGATTGATCTTGGAGAAAAGAATATTATCCAATTTTTTGTTGGTATTTCTGCGTTTCACTGCATATCCCCTGGATTATTAATCTAAGGTTGCTTCAAGTTTGTTACTTGCTGTTTTTATGGTGTTTGCTATCCCTAGAACTGCCAAGAGTCTGAGTGTATATGCGCCAACAATGAATGTACTTTTCAATCTAATTGCGGAAGAGGGGAGCAATAAGCTACAATTAATATAGCGTTATTAGACACAGCTGTGCTTATATAACTGTAGACAGCTTGTTTTAGTAAAATCCTTGAAGGTTGTTTGCTTTTATAACACAGCTTCTTTTCACGTGGTATATCTTCTTCCTTCTCCCTCGTCCTTTTCGTTCTTGAAGGCTTGATGTAGGTCTTTGTTTTGTTACTTGGGTAATATAAAAGTGGTGCATGATAGGAACACATGCCACTTTTTCTGTGTAACTGGATTTTTGTATATCGTATCAACTTCCATCATTAATCTGATAAGCTTCTTTGTCTCTGTTGTGCAATTGATTTGATACTAGTGCTTGTTTTGATGTCTTGGCCAACTAACTGACCCAAAACGACAGAATTCAAGATCTATTGATGAAAGGTCCAGTATGGAAGGCCTTAAGTGACTGCCAGTAGCCTTTTGTTTTCTGCCAGGGGATTATTTAAATTGTTGCTTTTTTACTTTTGATGCAGATCTTGGTGGGTTTTTGCTACCCAAGTTGCCAGTTATTGTTCCCTTTCCCATGCCCTTCATCTTTGTTAATTTCTTTTCCTTGTAATGGTTGTATAGGCAGGTTAAGTCCTCTCCAAGTACCAGCAACTATAATCATAATTCTTAAACTCTGCTATTTCTTTGATAGCAACTGCTTTTTGTCAAATTTGTGATTCTTGACCTAGTTAGGATAGTGACAAGTTTGTTATGAATATTGCATCAGACTTTGGATTCAGCAGTGGCAAGTCGAAGTCAATGTATGGGAGAGAAGGGCACATGGGCACAAGTGTTGTCAAATTTGCTGGTGACCAATCTGGTCTTAGGGATGCCATGAGACTTGCAGATTTCTTCGAGAAACAGAAGCATGGGCGCGTATCCTGGGCGTCTGTGCAATCGTTGTTCAGGCCAGGGAAAGACGACGAGAAAGATCCCAACCTTGTGAAGTTGGATAAGAAGAGTGGGCAGAAAGAGAGAATCTTGTATGGGTATCTAGGAACTGTGTTTGATATGGAGAGCGTGGATTTTGATACTAGGAAAAAGGTGACGATCGAGAGCAAGAGAGAAAGAGCTCAGGCCCAACCAAATTGATGATGAAGGTACCATGATCATCATGTTGTTTTGTTGGATAGAAACTAACATGTGCACCAAGGTTTGGATAGGAACTAACTGTAGATGTTGTCTTTGGATATGTAGAATGAGATTTCATTTGTTGGGTGTTATTTTGATATGATGGTGTACACGTTTGGTGGCAGTTTATGTGCATGTAGTAAGTAGTAGGTATGGGATCTTTCTATATCCAAGATGTTTCTGGTGATATGATTATTTGATTATGGTGCAACTACTCCTCTCCTTCTGAAATATAAGTGTCCATAGAAATGATCGTTCACTTTTAAAACTATGTACTTTTTAATTTTCTATTTAGATGGAGAAATTCGTTATTTCTTTTATTATCATAGGTAAAATTAAATGTTCACAAATAGGAAACCGTATACAATATTTAGATGTAGTTAATTATTACAAATTCTTTTATTGACCCTTGATTATGTGTATTAATTGAAGTTAGATTTGTATATTGTATTGAAACTAGACACTTATTTTGGAAAGTATAATTATTACACACGTTTTGGAAATATATACTTTCTGTATTTGGTAAGTATTGGTGAAAAAGTGAACATTTATCACGGATGATTAAAGGCAGAAAAAGAGGAAGAGTTTTGGCCATCAACAAGAAAACCCCTCTTTTTGTTGGTTGGTCCCATATTTATGGGGAAAAAGAAGGGAATTAGAAAACTACTTTTTCACATCATGATATAACTAAGCTCTTTCTTTTCCTATCGATAATAAGTTTGCTGGAAACCTCCATTCCCATAGCCCCCAGAAGCATAAGCAGCAGCAGCAGGAGGAGGATACTTCATTGGAGGAGTTCCTGGATATGCGAACCCTGGACTGGAGAATGAGGGGTGGCTTCTGGCGAATAGGCTGCATAATGATTCGTGGGTGAACTCCTGATGCTGTACATTTGGAGTATCCACCAGGATATTGGGTGGTATGTGATGGAGACCTCACAAACGATGGTGGGGATGGAAAAGGGGATACATATGTGTTTGCAATACGACTTGCCTTTGCTGGTGGCATGGTTCCCCCATTGCATCCAGGCGTTCTTTTATTGGCTGGACTTTACTGCAGCCGGTCTCTTCTTCTCAGTCTTCACCTTCTCCAACTGTTCTAGATGTTTCTTCAGGTTTTCAGGAGGAAACAGCCTCAAGTCTGCATTCTTTGATGCACTTGATCACAACTTTAAGCGCAGACTGAGATGTCAACTCCAGAATGCAAGTTCTCAATGATAAAACTAATCAAAAGTTACAAAAAACATTTCAAACCATAATTTAACTTAAATATTTTAGCAACTTAAGTGCTTGAAATACAAACTCATCCAGGAAGGCATAATGCTCAAGAACGTGATGAATTTGACAAATTCAAGGTCCCAATGGTGTGCTCATCACTAGTCTAAAACATTTCAAAAGTCTACAACATCAAAGTCCACAACAAACAAAATGCAAAATTAAGGGGGAATTTATCAGGAAGATTCTTATATGTTTCAATGTGCCTATGTTCTTTCTTTTTCTATTAGTTGATTATGAGTCAAATTTATAGAGTTCATTTGTGTAAGGAGATTTTTTATGTTTTATAATATAATAAAGATTATTCTTTTAAAAATTGGCCTATACCATGTACTCGTTCAAAATCTGATAAGTCAAAATATCTATCCAAAGCCAAGAAGACCAACATTTTATCACCAAGGCCAAGTGAAACAGCGGGCTTAGGCATCTATTTACGCCAAGCACAAGCAACAAGTTTTCTATACAATTCAAAATCTTCATCATTGACGATCGCGAAGGTCACTAAATGCTGCAAGAACGTATGTACTTGAGGTGCCTTTTCACATCCTCAATCTCCACTGTCAGCTTCCACGTTTGGGCAATCTCCTTGGCGCTCTTCTTCACACTAGGTGTCACAAGAACCCGTGAATGCCCCATTACCGGATCCATCAAAGTCTCCAACATTACAACACAAGCCCAACCCAGGGGTGGTGCCTGATTGGTTTGAACTTGGGCTTCAAAGGTCAAAAGTGCCTGGAGGTCCCAGGTTCAAATCCAAGGAAGAATAAAAATCCTCTTGTGGCCACGGATGTTCAAATGCGGTGACTCCAGTTTATCTGCAAAGCAGGTGGTTGTCCTGAGATTAGTCGACTCGCATCGCGGATAGGATATCCAGGTTAATAAAAAAAATAAAAAAATCCATGGCGGATTCTGTCCTCTTGTCCACCGGAAAAACCTTCGAAATTGCCTCCAACACAAATCTGGCCGGATCCACAAACTCAGTTAAAGCCAACGAAGTGAGAGAACAGGTATTGCCAGACAGCTGACATCCTGTTCTTCTCAATCTTCGACAAGGACTTCATGGGAGCATCTGAGTCCTTCTTCATTGGCCATTGATAGCCAATGGCGTCGAGACACTCGATGATCTCGGCCGTTGGCCTTTGGGAAGGCGAAGAGCCGTCCACAAGGTGTTCACGCCAAAGTTCACTTCCATGCGGTTGAAGGTGAAGTTGACTTGTTCAACTTGACATCCAGGCTTGACCTCGACATCCACAACCTTAGCAGTGAACCAGAACTGCTGGAGAAGTTCTTTCACCATGATGGGCTCATGGTTGAGTGCGAAGCCCAACGACGACTGTTTGAGAAAGTCAGCCGCTTCTTGGTAGTCCTCCTTGGATGAGGGGATATCCAACAAGGCAATGTGGTTGTTGGTCTTGAAGGATACCTCATCGAGAGAAAAGTTCACATTCTTGGCTGCCATCTGTTTTTAATAATAAGAATAAGATAAACAGGTTGTTAGTGAAAACCAAGATTGTTTGGGAGAAGCATATTGAATTTTTTTTGAAACAATAAAAACTTCTTTTAAAAAATCCTTAAAGAAGAGTTAGGGTTTTTCAAGTAGAATGTGTATACAGAAACAAAATTATAACCATGTAAGGGTTGATTAAATAATCTTTGTAGTTTAACATTTCAAGAGAACATGTTTCTTGAACTTATTAAACTTATTTCTTATAACAGAAGATAAAGTCTATATTGACCTTTAGAGATTAGAGAGAAAAAGGTTGAAAGGACTTTGAAGATTGAGAGAGTTCTTGCTTTGGAGAAATTCTTGCAGAGGTTCGTCTAAGAATTTTGAAAGCGTAAAGAGAAAAGTGGAGAAAAAGTCTCATATTTATAGGTAGGAGGAGAGAGAAGGAATATGAGAGAGTGAAAAGACAACGGTTCGGGAAAGTGGTCATGATGAAAAATGCCATGTTCTCATCCATGATTGGATGACATTAAATGAGGTAGCGTAACGATAGTATCTTTTGCGGGTCTTAAAGCGTTGCACATTGTAAATAGAGAATGTCGTCATTAAGACAGTTCATTAACTTTTACAAAGGGTTTTTAAGAAAACGAAGAGTCATACAGTGTTTAACTAAACACTGAAAAGACCGTTTAAAACATTTTATCACTGAAGATGAAAGACTTCAGTGTGAGTTTTAAGACATCAGTATCAGTGATAAGAGAATCACTGAAACTGACATTTAAAAACATTTGAATCACTGATTTAAAAGGTTCAATGATCATTTTTTATTTTTAAGAGAATAAGTATAAAAATATACTTATAGATATGGTCAGTGATAAGAAGATCACTGAAACCCATTAAAGGAGAAAAGCTTCAGTGAAGGTTTTAAGTTAGAGAAAAGAGAAGAGTAATCATACCTAAGAGAGAATAAATATATTTACTCAAAACTCAGTGTCAGAGATAGAACACTGAATCATTTCACTTACTGAGTGATGTTTAATAGCTGAAGATTAGTCTTCAGTGTTTAACATCCCCAATTTGCTGATCAAGATGTTGAATCTTGTCTCATCAAGAGGCTTGGTGAAAAGGTCAGCGAGTTGATACTCAGCTCGAACGAAGTGAAGTTCAATATCACCTTTCATAACATGATCTCTGATAAAATGATATCGGATCTCAATATGTTTGGTCTTGGAGTGAAGTACAGGGTTGTTTGCAATAGCAATAGCACTAGTGCTATCGCAATAGATAGGAACCTTTGAAAACTGAAGGTCGTAGTCTATCAGCTGGTTTTTCATCCAAAAAAATTGGGCACAACAACTACCAGCGGCTACGTATTCAGCTTCAGCTGTTAATGTGGACACTGAATTTTGCTTTTTGCTTGTCCAACTCACCAACTTTCCACCTAGAAGCTGACAGTCTCCAGTGGTGCTTTGCCTATCAAATTTGCAACCTGCAAAATCACTATCCGAATAACCGATTAGGTCAAAACCTGAACCTTTAGGGTACCAAAGACCCATGTTAGGAGTTCCCTTAAGATATCTGAATATGCATTTAACAACAATCAAATGGGATTTTTTAGGTTCAGCTTGATATCTTGCACATAAGCATGTGGAGTACATGATATCGGGTCGACTAGCTGTTAGATACATCAGGGAGCCGATCATTCCTCTATAAACAGTAACGTTTATAGGCTTTCCATTTGGATCCTTGTTGAGAGAGAGTGGAGGAGGCATTGGAGTCTTCATAGATGAACTGTTGGATAGATCAAATTTCTTCAGCATATCACAAACATACTTACTTTGGTTGATAAAGATACCTTTATCTGATTGTTTGATCTGGAGACCTAAAAAGAATGTTAGTTCTCCCATCATGCTCATATGATATTCTTTCTTCATACGATCAGTGAACCGGAAACATAAAGAGGGATTAGTGGAACAAAATATAATATCATCGACATAAATTTGGACTAGAATGATGTGACCCTTAACTTTCCTAAGAAATAAGGCCTGATCAATCTTTCCACGAGAGAATTTCTTAGAGATGAGAAATAAGGAAAGGGTATCATACCAGGCACGAGGAGCCTGTTTTAACCCATAAAGAGCTTTATCCAACCTATAGACATGGTTTGGATACTTAGGGTCAAGAAACCCTAGAGGTTGTTCAACATAAACTTCCTCTTGAAGTTTCCCATTTAGGAAAATGCTCTTTACATCAATTTGGTAGACTTTGAAGTCACTATAGGCAGCAAAGGCTAGGAAGAGTCGAATTTGCTTCGAGTCTAGCCACTGGTGCGAAGGTCTCATCATAGTCGATCCCTTCTTATTGTCTATAACCTTGAGCAACAAGCCGAGCCTTGTTACGGGTTACCTCACCATCTTCATCCAACTTATTGCGATAGACCCATTTGGTGCCTATCACTGATTTGTCAGATGGACGTGGGACAAGGTACCAGACTTTGTTCCTATCAAACT